GCTCTGTCTATTAGGTGTAAGCTAATAAAGGAGCTGAACTGATTCTGGACTGTCTCGCTGTTGTTCCTGGGCTGATCCTGACAACATCATCTACCAGATAGTAGCCTCCAGAACTCCTAGGTAGGGCACACATATATATTTTCTTATCACTGTTGGTAAATGATAGTAGCTCAAATTTGAATGGGAAAAGGAAACGGATTTTGGTTCCCTCCAAAGTCTTTTAAGTCAGCAAGTGTGTATTACCCTTACTGAAGGTCTTAGATCAATGGTGTATATTCATTATTAGCAGAGGTATCAAGGCCTTAATGAAATAATTGGATTTGATTTTAAAAAGCCCTTATGTCTTCTCTAGAGTACTCACTTGTTCCTTTAGAAGTATCTTTGCTATTCTCATCATAGTGGTCACGTGTACTTTCTAGAATAGAAGAGACAACAACCGATGGGAATTTAAAGCTGCCTCCTTATTTCTAGTTTTGAATAATTCCAGGGTTATTGCTTCTGATGAGAATAACATCCATCAGGACTCATCTATGATCTAGGAAGTTCCATAAACTTGATGAATCACCCTTATTTCAGCTTTGTTCTCATGACATCTGCTCATTTCTCCACCCTTAAATAGCAGTTTACTATCTACTGTATACCATAGATAATAGAAATCTGTTATAAGAATATAAGAAGACTAACAAAATCAGTGGTAGCAGATATATGTTTTCAGATAGATAGACAGACAGACAGACAGACAGACAGACAGACAGACAGAGAGCCATAAGAGTAAAACATAAAATTCAATTGCATATTTCCAATTTTGGCAGAATGGAGTGGTGTTATTTCTTCTTCCCTATGCAGCCTGCACTAAAAATTGTTCTGAGGGAACGACCCACCCCACTCTACCCCCACCCAAGCCTCCAGAGCTGATTTTGAAGATGCATAGGGAATTGCAAGGAGGAGGAAAGAAGCAGAGCACTCTGTCTCATTGGGGAAGCCCACTCGTTTAATCTGTTAAAGAAAAAACCAAGAGACATCAAATGGGACCACAAGTCTACAGTATGTGCAGAGTATAAGCAGAAGAGAATGAATCCAAATCATGTGAACAAAAAGCCAACTAGTAATGTGCATTTGGAGGAAATCATAATTGGGAGGAGACCTAATGAATGGAATGTTGCTATTTTTATTTACTCTTTTTTACATTTATTTGTTTTAATCACTTGTATGCAGCCTTTCATCTAAATTCATTCCAGAGCAGGAGATCATCTATGCTAAAAATGTTTTGTATTTTGGATTACTTGATCAAAAATAAATGAGAGTCATCTCTTCAAAGACCCCAAGGGAGAAGGGCATAAAAGAGGAACTGGGCATCTTACGATCCGAAAGGACTTTGTAAGCTTCAACAATCTCCTTGAATTTCTGCTCAGCTTCTTTTCTGTTATCTGGATTTTTATCTGGATGCCATCTGAGCACTTTGCTCCGGTACCTGCATAGTTTCACATAGGTGTAACAAGTGTTAGTTACCAAACAACTAGAGCCATAATAGAATTGCAACAATGTTAGTGATCAACCAGCTAGGATATAAAAGAATTCCACCATGAATTACGTTAGAATCAAATTTGGATATTTCCACTGGACTTTGCCATGGCGCAAGTACCACAGGAATAGAAAAAGAATGTAGATTGTGGAACTGTGCATTAAAAAGCCTGCATCAAGTAAAAATACACATGAAAGATTGGAAGACAGGTAAATGGCATTTTTTTTAAAAAAAAGGTTTTCATGCAATTTATATTAAGAATTACATAACTCAGGAGACGAGGCATACTGAAGCTATGTATGTTAGATGACAGTAAATCTAAGCAATTATTTTTCTAGTTTTTTTTAATCTATAGAAAAAAATTGCCAGAATGGAATATCATCTTGCTAAGGCAGACAATGAAACATATTCATTTTGTACTGATCCAGACATCCATACAACCATCCACATATACTGGAAACAAATAATCATTTTAGATATCATTATTCCATTAAGCTTCTCATTATTCACAAGAGAGAATAACTTGCCTTAGTAACAGGGATGAGACTATGATTGGATTTCTGACTCAATTATCCATGGAGGAATCCTACCAGAGTAATGTTCTTTTTTCTATCACTGCTATAGACATGAATCATGAACAAGCTTGAAGAGGACAAAGCTTCTAAAAGGAACCAGTTACTTGTTATTAGGCCCAGTGAGCAATATTCACAGGGAAGCAAGAAACATAACGTTTGGGATCTATGAGAAAAAGATGATTTGAAGGATTTATCTTACGCTCGTTTAATATCATTCATGGAGGCACTCTGGGGAACATCCAGAATTTTGTAGTAATCCACCATGATGTCCATCCATCCAGTGCAGGGGCTACCAGGGAAGATGAGAAGTAATTGCAGTCAGATACGAGAGTGGTTTCTTTACCTGAAAATACAATGAGACGGCATACACATTGTGCTGCTTTGAGATAAGCGGAGACAGATTTTACTCATGGGCAAAAGATGTGATGTTCTAATTTGGAGTTGATGGCCGAGCGTGCACTTCCATTACCTCTCCAACATGTGTTTCTTCCCCATCATTCATGGAGCATACTTTGTACCATGACATAGCATGTCATCATTATGGAACCTAATCAGAAAAATGTCTACTTAAATTCATGGTGTAGCTACAGTATGTTTTCCTTGTGTGCCTACCTAAAAAAAAATTAGTGCATAAACAAAAACAGATCCAAGACAAAGAACCGCAACTGCATCATCTTGTACCTTTTCCTAGTGACCAAACCACACTGAAATACTCTTCAATGCTCCCAGTAGCCCAAATGTACTGGTATAGTATTACTAATTCTAAATAGGTGGTTCCTAGCACTAATACATCTTTGTTCTTCTGCTGTAAGCCTCATATAACGTTGGACTGGATATTTCACGTGATTGAACTTGTATGTATTTAAGGATCCCTCTATAAACATTGCCACACCTTAATGATGCCCTGCTATTACTTCACCTCCCTCTTAAATGAAACCAAAAACCACAGGAATCCACACTGACGGGACAGAAGCCACATCTTTGGCATGTTTTTGTGAAAATACTGTGAACCGCAATGGCTTCAAAAGGGCTACTGCTTTAGTAAATGTGTATAAATATATATATACCTGTCAGATTTATTGGGTTTATTCAGTGTATTTACAATTTAATTTTCCTGTCAACTTAATTCATCTATCTGGTAAAATTCTAGGCCTAAATCTTTGATGTAGTAGAATTTATATCCAATTAAACCTCTGGTTTTCTAATAGTCATATAGCCATTGTCTTGTTCACATTCTTTTTGTTTCTCACAGGCCCAAAAATAACACTTTATTTTTTCTGAAGCTTTTATCATAAGCCTTCATTTTTATACCTCAACTCACAGCCATTTTGTTGATATGCCACAATAGATTCCTAGTTGCAGATTGTTTTTTCTTCCTTTTTTAAACTATTTGATCCTTTCTGTATTTTATATGATACTTACTTTTATGCCAAATGGTTGATCCTTCAACCAGCTATTATTCCATTAGACTCTGTAGCCAATTCCTAAGTAATTTTCTTGATGTTCAATTCATTCTCCTGCCTGCCTAACAAATGATAAAAAATTACACCTATTGTAAAATTGTGAATAAAACACTGATTGCAGGAAGTAAAAATAATCATGCTTTATAATATTAACTAACTCAATTGTGCTGCATCACTATTTAAAAGAAGCATGTTATAATCAAAAGAGTGATGGTTTCAGTTTCTTATTATTTATAAAAAATAAAACAATTTATTTTATTAATATTGTTTGGTGTAATACAACTATAGCATTTACCTTTGCCGATAAGAATGATCAATGTATCAATTTATTAAGCCAAATGCTTATATTCGAAGTTGTGGGCACAAATGTCCTTCTATGAAATAAAACTAAGTTTTTAAAAGAGAAGTTTGCTCTTTGCTCTATGGTTGGGAGAAAATAAGTCAGAGGCAATAGAGCTTATTGTTCTCAACAGTCCATGGAATGGAAACTTCTATTGAGCTGTGTCAAAATTCCACAAACAGAACAATGACAGTGATGTCACACAAAGGATAAAAACCTGGGGTAGAATCCAATGGTACTGTTTGATGGGCAGGAGTAATTTCTACTCCCAAAATAAGAAGCCAATTCTCCCATCACTTGTAGCCTCTTACATTCACATCATCTACTCTGAAGGATCCCACCAACCTTTAGAACAGATTTTGAAGTCATATGAGGGAAGGGAGTTGTATGACGAAGGTGAGAGAGGAGAAATCTGATTCCATGACTGATATCTGCTGATATAACTTTGGATTCCATCAATGTGGCCTCTTTGATTAAAGAGCTGCAATTGGTTGCCAGGAGAAATGTAAGCAAGACATTTCTGCCTAATGCAGGTAAGAATTTTAAGCTGAGATGGCTATCCAATGTCCAATGCATGTCTGAAAACCAATCCCCACTGAACAATGAACTACTAAATATCATAGGAGTTGATCTGCAAGGAATAAATGTTTGGCAGCCCTTTGCCCTGCACCTTGCACCTGTTCCTATGCCATGAAGCAAATATAGGTCAGCAAATCCCAGCTAGAGTCTGTGGGTGGAAATTGCAGGGGAAATGCATTCCCGGGGGGGGGGGATTCAACAATCTTTCCTTCAAGTGACAGCTTTGCCACTCATATTACTGTATACCTCTTCAATAATAGAATTTCCAGGCCTATGTTCCATCAGAGATCTGGTTCTGGATAGATTCATATACATATGACATTCAGTGATTGTGCAATTAGGGTCTGAGTTGCATGTATGAATGAACCATCATAAATCCAACTCCACAGAATTTTGACAATATCCATGCCACCTTCAGAATATTTTTTTTCAGTGGAGTAAATCCCCACATTCAGTTTTCACTCACTTTAAAGTAAGATGGGATTCTAATTGAAAATAGTACAGCATAAAGGAGAAAAAATAATGTATGCATATATGAACTAATCATTTGTTAAGAGTGCTTTTTTAAAAACTGAGAGAGAGCAGAATGTTACATTGAGAATAATACTGCAGTAAAGTGCTTCATAGTGATTGTTGCTACTTAGCAAAATAGGAAAGAAGGAGACTGGATCCCATATGATCCTTTCATCCCCTTTACACTGTTGATCTTGACCCTACTGGTACCTTCCTTCTATATAACACCAAGGCAGGAGGAAAGAATGCAGGGACCAATCCCTTCTATTTACTTGTTGAGGTCTTGGGCAGACCAAATTTGTACATAACCAATGTGGGGAGAATGGTTAAGAACATGAATCCATTCCCAACCTTCTCACCTTTCAGTCACCACTTTCAGTTGGGTTTCAGGCTGAATATCGTATGGAGAAGGCATTGATCACATTTGTTGACAACCTTTGGCAGAGCCAGGATGGAGATAGGGTGACTCTCCTGGTTCTCCAGCAGCCTTTGATACCATAAATCATAGTATCCTAAACCGACTACAGGGATTAGGAGTTGGGAGGCATGGTGTTGCAGTATGTCTCCTTCTTTCTCCATGGCCAGTTCCAGTTACTGTTGACAGAGTGGGAGAGGTTGAGCCTGTGTAGTACTCAAAGTTCTCACCCCTCCTATTTAACTTCTATACAAAGCTGCTGGGTGAGTACATCCTCCAACACAAGGTCAGGTATCACCAATATTTATTTATGTATGTATGTATGTATGTATTAAATTTGTCCCTGCCCATCTCCCCCCAATAGGGGACTCTGGGCGGCTCACAACTCATTAAAAACAATAAATAAATATACAATTAAAAGCCT